TGTCACATGACTCGGGTATACACCCAGAGGCTGGGACTATTTTCACACCTGTGCTCCTGAGACAGTGCCCTTCGTCATCTACTACTCAGAGTTAACAAAGCCCATTGTAGCGCTTTTTCTGCACATTTTATGATTACTTTCCAGCAGAACACATTTTTGCTCCAACTGAATATTTCTCTCGCCTGCGACCAAACTGTAATATGTTAAAAAATTAGTAAACTATTAATTTGTAAGTCTAAGAATGTGCTACCTATTCCTCCCAAGACATACAGTCACAGGGAAACCCACCAGCTTTATTGGTGTGTTCTGTACATCCCCAAGGCTAAAGGGGGACAGGTGTAAAGAATTCCATCCTGGTTGTCCCTGGTAACACGATGGGGCAAGTGAGGATAAGTCCTTTCTAACGTATCTGCCATACAGATGTCTGGACAACCACAGTAGTCTCAGTTCCGTACCTCTGATAAACACTCTGATATAAACAAGCCATAGAGGAGACAGTTTATTTGGCTCACGACTTCATGACCATCACTTTGGATCATCAGGGCAGGCACTCAAAACATCCACAGTCAAGAATGTTTCCTTGCTTGCTCTCGGCTAGCTTCATCCTCACCTATCTTATGGAGGACCCACCGCCTAGGGAATGGTGCTGCCCATGATGCCTGCATCTTCCTAGATCAATTAGCAATCCAATCTGCCCCTGTGCCAAGACACACCCATAAGACCTCCCTGATCCAGATAATTCCTCAGTATACTCTTCTGCCAGGCAAGTCCAGGTTGTGTCAAGTTGCGAGTTAAGACTAACTAACACAAACCCACAAGGCCGAAAGAACAAAATCAGGTCAGAGTACCAACCTGGCTTGACTGTAGAATTGTGGGTCTGTCTGCATCATAGCATGCCTGAGTCCTCTGGGAGGGGGACTTAAATTCTCAGCCCGTCTTCTTTTGTCAAAGTGTGGACCCCAGAAATTATAATAATGATACTATTATTCACAACCCTGACCATTGTTACCTGAAAATTTGTGAATCGAAAGTTTTTGTAACTAACATCATTCAAGCCATACAATAACCATTGGGGTTGACACTATAATTGAGTCTGTTTTATATAGATGTGAAGACAAAGCTGTGCAAGGCCAGAGCCTACTGTACATCCAAAGTAAATGAAAGAGTAAGGGAAAGCCAGAACCAAGATCCAGCTCAGGTCTCTCTGACTTCAGGAACAACACCAATAAAAGAAAATATCCACTTCTGAGCCAGAAATAAGAATCCACCTGGCTAACAGCACAAACATTTAAAGGTCTCTCTTGTTTCTCATGCCAGGAACATCACTCGGGTGTGGAGGTGCCTTGATTTACCAGCATTCCCCTTGACTCACCATGCGAGCTTTCACTGTCCCCTGCTGACTGGCAAATGCCATCTTTACCATTAATGAAAGCACAAGCGTTTTTCAGATGAAAGTGAAAAGCAAAGACGGCACTCAACACAGCCAACACCGCTCTGGCTTTGCCCGAGCCTCAACATCCATGGGGTTCGCCACATCTGAGGTGGTACCTCAGGGAGCTCAGACTTTGCACTTAGTGCACTGTTAAACCCACCAGAGAGAGCAGGGGACAAAAAGGCAGTGTGAGGTTAATGTTGACCATGAAAAATCCTCTCTGGGCTTTCAGATGTAAAGAGAGCCTTCAATTCTATGAGGGAGGCATGGAAAACACTGATACACTACACAAGCACTCAACCAGAGGTAGGCGTCAAGCTCAGGTATTTTCTCCACTGTGGTGTACATAGCCTGTATTTTATGCAATACTAATAAGCATATTTTAAAATATTAAAAATAGGGGAATCTGAGAAAAATGTTTATTTAACACTCTTTTAAAACTGTACCACAAATCAAAAATGATTTCAAATTGAAAGCTTTTAAAAAAGAAAGTCCAAATAACAAACAGGATGCTAGGTTCTCACAGCGGCCTCTGGAACAGTGTAGTTCAGACCTTGTCACTCACGGAGTATTGCTGAAGGGGGAAGTGGAGTCCACCAGCAGCTGAATACTATTGGTAGCTCTGGTTTTGAGCTCTAGTCCAAGGTCATAAGAGGGGACAACTTGTCCTGCTCACTGAGAGCAGAGCAAACCAGGAAGCTTCCTTGTGGTGCTTCCTACCTGGGCTGCACCTACAGTGTGTGTGTGTGTGTGTGTGTGTGTGTGTGTGTGTGTGTGTGTGGAAGGGAGGGGAGGGGAGGCAGGGGAGGGGGGATTAAGGGAGAAGATAAAGGAATGAGATGGAGGGGAAATGCAGGAACTATCCTCATCACCCATCTGGGACCAGGGGAAGGGTTTGCACGTGTGTATAAGTAACTTGTTAACACGGCAGGCAAAAGCACTGGAGTGGTTTATAAGTTATACAAAAAAAAAAAAATCAAAGTTTTTTCGAAGTTTCATAAATACTAATTAAAGAGTTATTTGGTACAAACAGAACATTTCCACAAAGTTTTAAAATCAGAAAAAAAGATACCTGGTGCCCTTGGGAAATTTGGTAAGGAAGTTTTGAGGTCAGGTGTTTTAATAAATGGAGAACAGCTTCCAAGGATTCGTGGGTCTCTTTCTTGCACACTCTTTTTAATCTTCATTCTTAAGACTAGAAGAAAAGAGATCTACCCAGTCTAGAGTCTCCTCAGAGATGAAGAAGAAGGAAACATCACACAAGGTCTCCGGAGGTGGTCACCACACTGCTGACTGGCACGGAGACAGGGGACAGCGTTTAGGAAAGACTCAATGACAAGGAAGCAAGACTGGTGGCCCATGGAGGGTCTGCCCTGACTCACGGACTCGGATCACGTGCAACCCGGAGCTGCTGCAATGTTTCCTTCAAGAGTAGCTGCTGGAGAAGAACCACGTAGCCCTCCTACAGCACAGAACACACTGGATACATGGTGGAACTCTGATATTAAAGAGAAAAGGGGGGGGTCTCTTTTAGGCCAACAAGATGGTCGCATGAGTAAAGCTGCTGCCAAGCCCGAGAATGTGGGAGGAATCCCCAGAACCCACCGGGTAATAGAAAAAACCAACTCTTGAAAGTTGTCCTAAGTCCACACGTCTCTGTCTCTTTCTCTCTCGCTCTCTCACTCGCCTTCTCTCTCACACACACACACCCATCACACATGTGCACACACACACACACACACACACACACACTAAATCTAGTATTCTAACCTCACCTCTTATTTCAGAGACTTTATGATGCCATGCGATATATGATTATACATCCAACAAAATAGAAATGGTCAATTATGAGTCGACCTCCATGTTACTTTTTTAATAAGACAATGATGGTAAATTATCCAAGAATAAATCTTGGTCCCAAGGCAGAATCAAAACACAATCACTGAGCCAAGTGCGGTGGTGCAACCTTGCAATTTCAGCATTTCATAGATGGAGGCGGGATCAGGAGTTCAAGGTCATCCTCTGCGATACAGTGAGTTTAAGGCCAGCCTGGGCTACACCAAATCCTGTCTCAAAAGAAATCCAAAACAAGCAAACAGAAACAACTTTGATTACTCTTCCAACACTGTATTTTTAAGGATGTACCACTTATTATTATAATTATTAATGGTGCCCTAGTATGCAGGAAGAAAATAAAGAATTTTTCAAAATTGTAACTATTCTCAAGATTGCAAAGGAAACATTATCACCCTATGCAGTAAACAGCACTCAACAGCTTTTTGAAGTCCAGTGTGGTGTTCTACCCACCTTACCCCCACGGCCTCATAAGCCCGCAGTCCACGTCATCCAAGGTTTCTTCCAGTTACATTTACCTAGAATAATTTAGACAGGCACCAAGGTCTCTCGACTCACAACCAAGATTTGCAAAAAAATATAATAATTGTAATTTGCCTTCATATTCATCAAAAGCAAAAGCAGTCATTAAGGTTTGAACGTAACAGCCTTCCTCTGACTCTCAGAGAGTGCTGCGAAGAGGCAGCAGCGACAAGCGAAGGTTACCGCAGCCGATTTCTAGGTTCAGGGAAGGAAGCCACATAATTTCACACAAACACCTGGAGGTGTGAGGGTGGGGGGAGTTATTTTGTTTCCACCTCAAAAAAAAAAATTGCAGGCAGACATGCAGCAAATCAGATCGCTGGGATACTCAATTATCTGAACACACTGATTAAGTAAATGTAATCAACCAGGCTTTCACTCTCCTCCTTGCCTGGTGTGTATTTCTAGAGCACCCTTTTCTCATTCCTCATAGCGGGCAGAACATTAAACAGTCTACACGGTGCAGCAGAGGGAAACAAACACAGATTCTTTTTGCTGATGGCAGGAGTTTCTTCTCACGCGCAGGGCGAAGGAAGCCACACTGTGGAAACAGCAGCACCGGCTGGCTCTAGATTTTAATTACTCTCCACACCAATTTTGCAGTGAAGGCTTAAAGTTCAATTAGGTAATATGATGCTCGGTTAGGGTTGTTTTCATAAAACTGGGCACAGGCTTTCAAGTAGTAAATACGTAGCCGTGACAGGATTAAATATTCATGAAATCAAGAGTGACTGGAAGGCTGGGGATATCAGACTATTAAAATTCATATGGTTTTCACAATGTAAATCTTGCATCCACTTGTACGGCGCCCCGTTCTGATCTGTTTCAGAGTGTGTTCAGATCCCAACTCCTGCACAGCTTACCACTTAAATAAAAATATTGATTTTTGTGGATCAACAACAACCCTGGTCCTTACCTCAGGTTTCAAAAGGCAGAAACGGTTTTAAGCATTTGCCCATCTGAAGTTGTTAAAGATTTGTCTGCAGACAGAACAACAGCACTCCGTGTGATCCCAACATGCTCTAGTCACTGTGTAATCTACTGGTGTCTTAGCAAAGGTCCAAGGAATATCAAGGTGTTCGCAAGGAGGAGCACTTGAGGAGACGTGGCTTGTTTCTGCCTAACAGAAGCGCCTATCTGCCTGGACACTTCCTTACTTAAGACAACGCGGAAATAAAGTAGATTGACTCACCTGGCTTCCAATATTCTGATTTGCTGAACCAACTTTTCCCCAATATTAGTAGCGGCTTTCAAAAAGCTTTAACAAACACACGTGCGAACTTGTTACCGATGGAACTAAACAACTAGCTGCCATCAAACTAAACTCCGAGCGTGGGAAGAGGCAGCAACTGCCCAGAGATGGCTGTAATAAGCAGGCTCTCTGAATATTACCAAGGCGTCATCTTCTGTGCCATTTCCCCTACTGTACAGTTTTCTCAGCAGAGGAAAACACCAGCAGCAGAGAATGGCATCGGAGCCATCTCTTACTGGAATTCAATTACCTAAAGAACTCCACACAGTCAGGCGCAGGTCTCCCCTGGTCTACCATGACACAGCAGGGCTGCAAAGGACTTGCAGGGTTCATCTGCCGCCAGGCACTTGGGTCCCTGCCCTCCTGAAGAGGAGGATGCCCGCTGAGGAGGACCACCTCCAGCCTAGAGCTCTATGAAGCAAGGCTGTCCAATCTGAACCGAGCCAAACTTTGCTCCCATCGGTAGATGCATGCCACCTCCCCTCCACGAGTCTAGGAAGCCACTCGCCAGGTCTTCGGACACACTTCCTCTAGACCCACAGCATCTAAAGCTGAAGTCTCCCGCGGGTTCAGTCCTGCCCTCAGCCTAGCATCGCTTGTACCACGACTTTTCCCCTGCACACATCACTGAACACCGAAACCAGAGCAGACTTCTTTCTGCACACGCCTTCCAGTTGAGAAACTCACTACCGGCGTGGATTCCTCCAAATCCCACGCCTTCTCCGCTCTGCCACCCCACCCCCCATACAAACGAGGTAAGGGGGTTGGGAGTGGAGGGGTTAAAGAGACAGCCACTACTAGTGCCCCTCCATCTGGTTCAAAAGATGTCACGGCGGCCACACCGCGGACCTTACCTTGCTCTCCCCCCTCTCGCTGTTGGGTCTCGCCTCTGGATCGTCGCTGTCCTCAGCGCCCGCACTCTCGCAGGGCACTTCATCCTGAGCCAGCTGCTGCTGGGGCTGCGGCTGGGGCTGGGGCGGCTGTGGCGGCGCCTGGCAGGCTCCGCCAGCCCCCTGGGAGCGGGGGATGGGCTCCGGGCGCGGAGAAACTCCCTCCACATCCATCTCCATCTTCCCATTCACTGGAGGGCAAGACAAAAGCGGAGCGGAGACTTGGCAGCGGCGCCCGGCGGCTCCTCAGCGGCCCGTGGCACGCATGGCTCGCCGAGGAGGGGCCGCCTCGCGCGCGCCCTCCCTCCTGCCACCCTTCGCCCGCACTCCCCGCGGCTCGGCTCCGGCGCTGCTGGGCGTCTGGGCCCGTGAGCCGGCGAGGAGCGGGTGGCCGCGTGTCCTTGGAGCGCTGGCCTTCAGGCGCCCCCCGGCAGTCCCGCTACACCGAGCGCATCCTGACGGTGGCAGGGCGCCTCCCAGCCGCGCGCCCCAGCCAGCCCTGGGGACAGCCCCAGGGACTTGTTCTCCTTATCCTCGATCCGGGATCCGCGATCCTCGATCATCTGGCATCTCCCGGGGCCCCCTGGGTGTTTCACCGCCCTTCCAACCTTCTGAACAAAGTTACTGGAAGAACAAACCAGATGGGCAGGATTTGCCTGGCGACACTGGCAGGGATAGAGAATGTCAGGTGTAAGTGGGATCTTGCTCCCCCAGCCGCTGACCAGGCACCGACCCTATCTGTCGCCCCCTTTCCAGCGCAGAGGAATGGAAAAGGGAGGGTGTTCTGACCTGTGCACGAGGTTGTCAGGGAAACTATGAGAGGGGCAAGGGGATTACTCATAGCTGGAGAGACCACCCCAACCCCGGGTGACTACTCCCTCCTGACCCTGGTTCTTCCTCTTCAAGCCACCAAGAGTGTCTCGAGGACCAGTCCTTCGCTGGTTGCTTGTGTGTGGCTCCCAGAGCCCGGCACCCAGTCTGCCCTGATACTGGTGACCCTGCACAGGAGACAGCCCACTCTAGAGAGCTGGAGCACAGAACCAACCAATATTCATTCCTAGCTGGAAAAGACTTAACCTAGTCTTGAGCATTGGTGTGTGTCGGGACGGTTAAATCGGGAAGGGGTGGGGCTTCATGGGATGGAGAGGGTGCCTGGGTCTGGACCAGCTTCACAGTGCTGAATTTGGCACCAAGGTGTGCAGCTGGGAGGGTCAATGGAGGAGGAAGGGAAGTGGGGTGTAGCTGCCAGGCTTTTACTGCAAGGAATCCTGTGGTGGGCGCCAGCTGGGCACCTGCTCTCCCAAGTGGGCAGTTCTCTCAAGCAAACTGGGCAAATTTTAGGAGGGGAGGCTAGGGGCAGGCAGTGAAGTGCTCTATAAATACAGAGTTGGCAAGGAAAGACATGGGAAAGCTTACACTGGGACTCCTTGTCAGTCACGTTGACCAATTCTGCTCTACTCACATAGAAATCAAGAGGAGTTGCTGGGCTATTATCAGTGATTCTGAGCCCTGCAGTGCCAAACGGGCTGAGCCAAGAGACTGCCTCTATTTCCAAGTCCTAAGAAGTGGAGATGCATGCCTCAAGGCTCTACGCCAAAGCTGCACGACTGTGTAGATGCTCACGTGGGAGGCTTACTGCTCTGGACTTTGGTTCTCTGTGGCCTCACCCTGGGGCAGCTCGAAACATCCTTGGCATCTGGAGCTGGAACTCACAATGGTTGGGTGTGGGGAGGGCCTGGAAGCATGTGTAGCTAGTATCACAGCTCCAGAGCAGATTTCAGACCCTTACCTTTAGGGACTGGGAGCCCTCTGGAACGCTTCCACCAAGCAGCCACATCGCTGCAGATCCGTAGATCTCGACACTTCCGCCATCCACACCCTGTACTCCTTCCTGACCATCACTTTGCAAACTCATCCACTGCATCTTAACTGCTGAAGGGCCTGCCACTGGCTCAGCTCACTCCAAGCACCATAAAGATCACAGGTGGGAACCAAAGAGCCCTTGGCAGAAACCTTTTATGGGGTCTAAAGTCGCAACTCCAGGTTGCAGTAGCAGAGGGCGGCTCCAAGCTCATCCTAAAACCAGGAAGGGCATGTGGCGGGGTCTGGCATATAAATGTGCACTGTAATTTGCAAGAGCCATAGGCTCCAGATCACACTAATCACAAACATTCTGTGGAGATGCCCGAGAAGTCCTCTCTCTGCTCGAGTCAAAACAGCTGCGGGTGAGCGGGAGTCATCTGGAGTTCACCTGGCTTGTCTTGAACACTGTCTTCCCTACCTCCTGTACATTGTTAGGAGTGGTTTGGGCTGGAAGAAGGCCTCCTAAAGGGGCCCTGATTCTTTTGTAGTATCCATGGTTACAGTCAACACACAACCCAGCTGCTGACGTGTTCCTACATAAATCAGACAGTATGAAAAGTAGCCAGTGAAAGCCGGGCAGTTGTGGCACACGTCTTTAATCCCAGCACTTGGGAGGCAGAGTCAGGTGAATATCTGAGTTCGAGGTCAGCCTGGTCTAACAAGAGCTAGTTCCAGTATAGGTTTCAAAGCTACAGAGAAACCCTGTCTCTAGAAACAAAACAAAACAAAAAGTAGCTAGTGAGAACAGTCTGTCCAACCAGCTGCCAAACAAAGGGCCACCAGAAGGACAGTTCGGGGCGTAAGGCCACTAGGCCTAAGGGAAGAGTCTGTCATCTGTCACCCCCGGGATCCAGTGGCCTTCTCTGGGCATAAAAGGTTGCTTACAATAATGACTTAGCAGAAGTTCAATACCGAACAAACAGTCCCAGTGGCTTTAGCAGGGCACAGGGACCAAGGTCTATCTGAGCCATCTCCAGGAGAGCAAGGTGACCTCTGCAGTTTCCACTTGGTCCTGGAAGTAGCAACAGTAACATTGCACATTCAGGATGTTGGGACAGTGAGGAGGCCAGGCGAGTCATGAAGAACCTGTTTAACATTAGTCATTTACTCTGGGTTTTGAGTTCTAAAATGTCCCCGAATGGATCCAGAGATAAGTGAAGTGCCCGTGTATTTTCTAATAGAGAGTGGCCTTTTCCTTTAACACCCACTGTGGGACACATGTGTGACTGATGCAACTGGGAAGGCGCATGGCCCACTGGGCTGCTCTGCAGCGCCCACAGAGCTTTGGCACGCCAACGCACATAGTCCAAGTGGACAAAGCCACACCAGGTTCATGGGCAGAATTTATCCTTTTCTGCAACTGCTTACTCTCCGGGCTTTTGTGTGAGTATGAAAGCATTTTAAAGCTGCTTTACTCAGTATAGACAGGTCTAAGAAAGCAGAGATTTTGGATGATGGCTTACCAGGCCTCCATTGTTGGGTTTTATTTTCGTTGTTTCTAAAAAGCATCGTTTCAAGTTTATTTCCTAAACTGAGAGCTCCTCAAACAGCACAATAATGAGTTTACTTGTCCTGGATAGCCTAGACTTTTTTTTCAACGACATTATGAGCCTGAGTGTTGTAATGTATGAGCCGAGATAGTATGGCTGGGGCCTACAAAATGGCTCTGTGTGTAAAGGCTCCTGCGGCCAAGCCTGATTCCACAAATCCAGTCCGGAAAGTGTGGAGAAACAGACCTCCAAAGAGTGTTTCTCTGACCTCCTAACATTTACTGTGGCATGCCTGCCCCCACTTCCAAAATATTTATTACAAAATAATAAAAAAACATTAAGAAAGCAAAACTATATGCCTCTGAGGACAATACTTCTTTCGACTCTCTCTCCAGCAGCCACTAATAAATCAAGAGTCCTTACAGGGTTTTTATTAAGGTAAATCAGATTATCTGTGTAATGTGCTTAGAAAAATCACGCAGCACACCGCATTGTCTGTTAGGCCTGGGCAGGACGATGGTAGAAATTGACCTTGAATGTGTATCTGAAGTCTTTGGTTCAGGAGCCAGTAAACAGGAGTTACTTGATTTTTCTGGAAGATGGTTGGCATCTTTGGAGAAGAGGGAGGGACTCGCCAGTGTTGTGCGCAAGGATCTTCGGAATCTGACAGATTTTTCTTCTGTAGTTCAGAAATAAAATTCACATGTCAATTCAGACAGGAGCTGGGAGAGCTGTTGAGTTAATATTCTTCCACGCTTGTTACTTCCAAAATGTGTTTGTGAACTTTTTTCAAAGCTCAGATGAAGATTAAATAAAAAAAAAGAAAGATAAAATACTGTAACTGAATTTATTCTAAATTTAGAC